GAGCAGTCCAGCAATCGCGCGAAACGAATTTTCGCTTAATTTCGCACGATCCGTAAATAAGTAGGCGATTTGTATGAAAGAGGTACGTGTAACGACGATATTTAGGGCGGACGATCTCGTTAACCAGAAATTTGCGTTTTTCTCGTATCTGAGCGCGTATCGTGTCTATGCAGCGATGCGAAAAGAGAGCAAAATAAAAGAAACGAAAAGAGAGAAGCGAACGCGCGAATCTAGAATTCGTTTGATGCGACACGATCGGACGATCCGACGATCCGACGAGGTTTTGGGAGGATCAAGAGCACACGAACAGTTTGCCAGCAAGTGGTCAGTGACACACGCAGAGAGGCATGCGAAACACGTGCGATTTAAAAAGAAGATCGAATACGATGTTTGCGTGGGTGTTGTGTACGCGTAAAGAGAAGAAAGAAGGGAGGCGTGATGCAACGTGGCGTGTAGCATATACCACCGAGGAGATCAGAGTAGTTACGATAGGAACGAACCGCTAAATTGCGTACCGTGTTGATAATCGATCATTATGTTTTTGCCGATGCATTGATGCCGAGCGCAGAAGAAGATCATGATCATGATCTGCCTTGCTATACTCGCCGTCGTTCTGACTACCACCATCGGTGGATATTTTGGGCTGTAAACGCCGCACCCAGGTACCGTCCATTCAATCTTTTGGTCCACGTATTACGAACGAAATCGGCGAGAACGACACGCGTTTTCCATTGATCCTCTTCTGTCTTTTTCTTTTGCAGACAAATCCAAAGAAGTTGCCGTCGCGTTCGTCAGCGCGAAACGTCGGCAACGTCCGAGTCCAGACAAATCGGCCCGAAACAACATTGGACACCTCGCCCGTTCCAAGTCGCACGGTCGTCGTCGATTGGAATTTCGCCATTGTCAACGGCAACAGCAACAGCAACAGCAAGAACAGTGGCTCGATCGCGATGTTGTCGACAGGCCTTTTGTCCGCGCGTGCCGCTCCTCGTCCTACGGATCGTCGCTGTATTTTGCCTTCTGTTACGCTTACGCGTTAACGTATACGCGTCCAACTTGTTCATCATCAGGAAGGAGGAAAGAAGAGAAAGAGGAGGAAAGAACGGACGTAGACACGAATTAAGAACGAGAACGGAAACGAGGAAAGCGATAGCTGATAGAACGAAGAATCGCCGTCGTCGTTGTTTGTTTGCGCGATCGTCGTTTGTCGCCTTAGCTTCGCCATCGTTGACCGAATCGCCGTCCTCCTTAGTTTCTTTTCGTTTTCACGCGCTTCCATCGACAGACTCGATGCGCGGATAGTTTCGTCGCTAGCCTCGCTTCGTTCCACTTTCTATCACGAAGCGTAAAACTTAACAGCGCCAGAGTGATTTGTCTTGGTAGGCTCGGTTTTCGCTAGATCTCAACCTCGTCTTTACCCCTTTTTCCAACCTCTCCTTTCGTACGCGATCGGTCATTTCTCAATTGCGGTAAATAGCAAGTAGCGAGTAGCGAATAGTAAATAGGAAATACCGACAGCCAGAAACGCGTACACGCGAGAAACGATAAAAGGCACGGACGACGTATAGCGACGAAGCGACCTTGTTGCTCGGCGACGTATCGAAGCGGCAAGATTCGCGTCGGAACGTCAACGAGCAAAGCGGCGGAGCGAGTCCTTCGTCGATCTCTCTCGAGCGATCACGGTGCCTATCGCGATTATTGGCCGTTGCACGGCCGACAATCAACGAGACGAGGATGACACGCGTGACGTAACGTCGGAGTCGAGCGACGAACGTCGTTTACTTTCGCTCGTACGCGATCGATTTCACTCGAGGCTACCGGGCCTACGTAAGTACGAGCGGAAAAAAAAAATAAGCGGTGCTCTCGCGGGTGGCTACCTGCGAGAATAGGTCGTATCGATGTATCTCGTTCCGAGCCAAGCCTAACACCCAATGGAGTTTTTCTGTAACGCGAGGCGTCGCGCGAGGCTACCGAGTAACCCTCTCGTTTTTCACGCCATTTTCGGCGTGGTGCGCCGGCTCTGGTAGCCGTGTCCAATTAAACCGACTACCTACCGAAGTGCATTCTTTTGACTGTGATTTTTAACCGAGCTTGGAAATTAGTTCTTTACGGACCTCTCGGATGTTTCGAACGCTTTCGAGCATATAGTCGCGCGATAGTTTTTTCGAGACGCGCATCACGCATACACGATCACTCGCCACATATCATGTACTATTCGAAGCGTGTAGATTTCTAACGAGCCTTCCCTCTCTCGCTGCTTCTAACATCGCCGCAACGGTCTTCGATCGAGCCAGGTGCTATATATCGCGTCGAGATGTAATCGTCAATGACGGTGACGAGTACGTAAACGAACCGAGAGAACCCTCGTATTCTCCGAACGATAAGAAACGGCGAGACAAAGAACAGTTTGGCGAAACGCATCATTGGCAAAGACAGAGAACTCTGTTTACAAAAAAAAGAGAAAAAAAACAAAACAAAACCGTATATGTAGCTAGATCACGCGAGAGCGTAAAGGACGAATTTCCAAGCGCGTCGCAACGTTAGGTTAGCTTTCGTTCGACGAAATACGTATACACCTAAGTAGTTTGTTTCTCGCTTTCGACGTGGCGTCATCATCGACTGGTCGATGCAAGTTGATACCGGTTAATCGAGAACGACGAGTCGAATAGTGGAACGTCATTGACTTCGTGTTGCACGAAACGCCATTAGGGTATTGGGTTCGATCGATCGATCGGCGTAATCGCTTTGCTTCCCTTCGCGAGAAGTCGCAACTCTTTCGATCTTTGCCGAGTTTCGCGACTTTTCTCTCTCGATTACACGTACATACACACACACACACACACGCACACGAACACGCACGAGAGCCGCCTGGTGTTTTGTTTTTTCAGTTCAGCTCATGGATACTGAGTACGTTGTCAAGTACTCCGAGATAATCGGCCAATGACCGATTCAACGACAATAACGACGGTACTACGACTACGACCAGGACTATTACGACGACAAAGACTGCTGGAACATTCCTTTCGATTTCGTTTCGTTCAACTTTGTCCCATTTAGTTGGATTTCTGTTTCGCGAACGTTTTGGTCGTGAAGCGAATATCGGTTGAAAATCGAAAAGAGCTTCTCGCGAGAAGCGTGCGTCGTTGTTGAAGCGGTCGGTCACACGGCGCAAGGAACAAGATGCTGTTGAAGGACGCAGGGAAATGGACGCAGAGACGAGGAACACGCGATGAGGAGAGAAGAGGAGATCTATAAAGTTGCAGCAATAATAAGATATAGGTGTTACGGGAAACTAATTAACGCTAATACAATCGTCGACGATAAAATCTGGATCATACCGATGTATCGTATCTACACAAAGTGTATACATATTTATTGCTATATGTGTATATATATGTATATATATACACACAGAACACTCGTACGTATATACACACAGAGAGAATACACACACACACACACACATAACACACGAAATGCGCGCGCATACGTGCGTATACCGTAGCTCACGGTTATGAGCGCGAGACACGAGCCACGCAGTACACACACACACACACACACACACACACACACACACACACACACACACACACACACACACACACACACACACACACACACACACACACACACACACACACACACACACACACACACACACACACACACACACACACACACACACACACACACACACACACACACACACACACACACACACACACACACACACACACACACACACACACACACACACACACACACACACACACACACACACACACACACACACACACACACACACACACACACACACACACACACACACACACACACACACACACACACACACACACACACACACACACACACACACACACACACACACACACACACACACACACACACACACACACACACACACACACACACACACACACACACACACACACACACACACACACACACACACACACACACACACACACACACACACACACACACACACACACACACACACACACACACACACACACACACACACACACACACACACACACACACACACACACACACACACACACACACACACACACACACACACACACACACACACACACACACACACACACACACACACACACACACACACACACACACACACACACACACACACACACACACACACACACACACACACACACACACACACACACACACACACACACACACACACACACACACACACACACACACACACACACACACACACACACACACACACACACACACACACACACACACACACACACACACACACACACACACACACACACACACACACACACACACACACACACACACACACACACACACACACACACACACACACACACACACACACACACACACACACACACACACACACACACACACACACACACACACACACACACACACACACACACACACACACACACACACACACACACACACACACACACACACACACACACACACACACACACACACACACACACACACACACACACACACACACACACACACACACACACACACACACACACACACACACACACACACACACACACACACACACACACACACACACACACACACACACACACACACACACACACACACACACACACACACACACACACACACACACACACACACACACACACACACACACACACACACACACACACACACACACACACACACTCGCACACTTACATGAAACGCGCTAACGCGTTCACAGAGAAAAAATAAAAACATATTACATGTATATATAAATAGGTAGTCGGCACAGTCGAAAAGAGTAATATATTAACGATGATAATTTATTATTCGCGACGCCTGTTGCTCGTGTAAACTGTCGTCTGATAATTGCTTTTCGGGCAAGAAATGGGCGACGTTCGTGTTAATGTTTTGTTGATTATATTATATGAACGTTGAGGTACATGCGTTTCAAAGATTATGGGTTAATGTTTCAGAATGATATAAGAAAGAGACGAAACAGAGGTAAATGGTTACGCTACACACAGGCCACGTTGCTGTAGCAACGATATTAAAGGTAGAATGCGATAATGCGATGAAGACGGCGATACGATGCTACGATAATAATAAAAACGTGGCAAATATACATGGTGAAAGGAGGGGAACGTACGACACGATCATAATGATAATGATAACGATAATTAACGATATTTCAAATCACTTTGCATTGTACAGAAGCATACTGATTGTTAGTTTAGGTAGCTACGTTGCCACGATCTATTATTTAATCGTTGAATACGATTAAGGAATAAGTAAAAAAAACGCGGAAAATCCCTCTGTGACGAGTCGATCGATATGCCTGGTTGTTCGAATCGGACCGGATGGTATTTTGTTGTTGTGGTCGCGATCGCACTCGCGGTCAACGTCAACGTCGCGTCAACGTCGTCGTCGTCGCCGTCGTCGTCGGCGGCGGAGAAGCAGGTGGAGGAGGATCGCAAGAAGAAAAATTTCTTTCGCTTTCGCGTATTTGTGTTGTCGGTGGAAAAGAAAGAAAAGGAACGATAAACGACGGCGGTCCATCTACTCGATAGACACCCTCCTCCGAACTTGGTTGCTTCGCATTTTGAAATCGAATCGAATCGCGTGCACCGAGTGATCGTGGCGATCGCTTCGACGAACACGGTTGATTGATTGGTCGATAATCGTTGATCCTCTCTCGGTGTTGGTTCGATGCCGATCTACGGATATACAGGAACAATCGTGAACACGTTATCGGCCTTAATGCGATCGATCGCGTATCGCGTATCCGCACCGAGACGAGAGATCGTCGCAAACTCTCCCCTGTGCGCATCATTTTTGTATATATCAGCCTCCGCGATTTGGAGACAAGTCGTTCACCTTTTGTTCGACTAGCTTTAAATCTCGTATCTTGTCGTTAGCGTTTTTCTCAGACGCGTGCGCGCTCGTGTGTAGCGATCCTCGCGATAGGAATTGAAGAATCACACTTACTTTCGTACCATCGAATAAGTTTTCCCGGCCGCGATAGATTTATATGTATAATTTGTAATAAGTGTACGTAACGTCGGTAATATCGACGGTCGGTATGCGCATAGAATACGTATTTTGGCCTAAAAAAAAAACTAGGAAAGAGGAATTTTCTCGTTCACACGTTATATATATATACATATATCACCTGTGGCTTCGTTGATTTCCTTTCGTTCACGAGGAGAGATTTCACGAGTGCGAATCAATCTTTGATCTTAATTCGCGCAACGGTACTGTCCGTCTGTCCATCTGTCTGTCTACCTGTCTTTCTTTCATTTATATCCCTTTTCTTTCCTCCTGTCTTTACTATACGTACTTGTTTTTGTTTTCCAATAAATACATAAAGCGATCGAGACGGGAAACGCGTTTGCATCCGATGAACGTTAGAAACGCGAACTAACGAAAGACAAGACCGACAGATGGGCTAAAGCGTGAGCCAATCAGGAAATAAACACGAGAGGTAAATGGGAATTGTGACGAAGCAGAGGGAACGCTTTAGAGACCTCGAACACGACAAAGTATCGAGAATGTACATTGGTCGTGTCGCATCGGTGCAATTATTACTCTTCGAGAGACTATTTCAATAACCTTATGAGTGTCAATTCCACTTTCGAGCGTAAATCGTAAGTTTGCGAATGTTTTCAGACAAAAGAACAAACGAACAAAAATAAAGAGCGACCGTGATTGGGGTGTTGGTGTTAAATCATAACGATAAGAGAGGTTACGTGGTCGTGTCTCTTGACTGCCACGCGGCAAAGTGAGATTATTATAATAAATTTACATTATTGAGAAAACTAATTAGGGAATGAGAGAGTGGGAGAGGAAGGAGTAGAAAGCACGTACGTACGAACGAACGAACGAACGAGCGAGCGAGCGAGCGAGCGAGCGAACGAGCGAGCGAACGAGCGAGCGCGCGAACGAACGAACGAACGAACGAACGAAAGCAAAAAAGAAGTAAGAAAGTTGGGAAAAAGGGATGTGAAAAGAGAGAATAAGAGGAACAGTTTAGAAAGAGAAGCAACGTGCGATCGGACGAATGTACTGACAAACGAACGAACGAACGATGTTAAAAAAAAAAAAAAAAGTTTGAGCGAAAGAGTGCGTATGCGTGCATGCGAGAGAGAAACCGATGCACGAAAGAGATACTTTGAAGAATTTAGCACGTTGAACAATGGTATGGAAATACTTTTTATCGTAGACACACTTCTATTAGGCGAGAGAATTACAAGGACGATGAAAAGGCAAAAAAATAGAAAAAGAAAAAGACAAAAAGAGACCTGTATTAAGGATTACTTATTAAATAAACGAACGGTGTTTTTTCCGCCTATGAGTCGTATTTGCGTGGAGCGAGCACGGATGCATTCACTTCTCTTTCTCTCTCTCTCTGTTAAACGAGAACAGAACGAGATAGATCGTTATTTCGTTTCCATCTTTAATGCGATATTATTGTTATTACCATTATTATTATCGACACTGTACAAAGTTGGCAATAATCTTAAGAGATCCACCGTCGTAACGCGTTTACTAGCTGTGTTTGACGACAGAAAAAGAAAAATGAAAAGAAACGCGAGGCGAGGTCCGCGCTTGTCACCCAATGGAGAGAAGAGAGCTCGTTGCAGCATCGTCTAGGTCTAAACAACAACGGGGCTGTCGAAAATCTGACGCGCGATCGAGCGAGGGTGGTGGTGCCCTTTCAGCATCGCCCGATCCTGCACAAAAATATGAACGCCTCTGCGAGCCTGTATTGAATATACATACGCATTACTGCACTATAGACTGTAGCTCCTATAGACGATCCTATAGGTCTGGCTCGCTTTGCAACACAGAGGCTACCGAAGTTTCCAAGAAAAAAATAAAAA